TCCTGAGAGGGCGGTCTGCCCAGAAGGATGACTATACTGAGGATGTTGTGTCCTTGTGCTCCAGGCCAGCCAGGGAGGAACGGTACCTGGATAAGACTCCTTTCTATTTTTAACTGGATCTTAAAAATTACTGCGAGTTGAATACATCAATTTGAAAAGAAATAAAAGGGCATCACTAGGCTGATATTTACTGTCTAGAATTCTCTGTAAAGGTCTCACCGACTGAAGTCTAATCATTTCAAGATGCCCTTTGCAAAGCAAACAATTTTATTTTCCCCAGTTTGCCTCTCACCTTCAAGTATATCTCATTTGCTTATGTATTTATAAATGCCACAGTTTCCTATCTGATGCTAAGAAAAGAACTGCTCTGGGTACCTTTCCTCTCCACGCTCATGCCCCCACTCCCCACGGCCCCTGCCCCACGAGCTGGAGGAACAGCCAGGTCCATACAGAGCAGTGGGTCCCCTGGTGGGTCCACTCCTCCTGCACTGGAATCACTTGGGTGCTTGCTTAAACATGCATGTTTCTGGCCCACGAGTCCAGCCTTCTATTTTATAAAACAAAAATCTGAGGTGTGAATATGCTACCTGACTTATTCCTGGGGCAGAACCTGAGTCAGAATTTGCTCCTTTTCGGCACTCACCTGACGGCACTTGGGATCCAGCTTTGCTGGGGGCCGGGGTTGAGGAGAGGGTTTCTGGAGCAATAGGAAGGGTCTTTTAAATGTTGGTAATCTGGGTCCACTTTAGATTTAGGGGAACAGAATCTTCATGGTGTGGTGCCTAAAAATGTGTTTTTTTTTTTGTTTTTGTTTTTGCCACAACACACAGCTTTCGGGATCTTAGTTATCCTACCAGGGGCTGAAGCCTAGGCAGTGAAAGCTCGGAGTCCTAACCACTGGACCACCAGGGAATTCCTAATACATGCATTTTTTTAAAGTGTTACTTTCAAGATGTACAGCCCAATGTAAGAACTTTGCAGGGTTTCCCTGGTGGCTCAGTGGTAAAGAATCCGTCTGCCAATGCAGGAGACACAGGTTTGGTCCCTGAGCCATGCAGACCCCCACACTCCGCAGAGCAAAGAAGCCTGCGCTCCAGAACTGGAGAGCCGCAACTACTGAAGCCCACGCACCCTAGAGCCGTGCCCCACAACAAGAGAAGCCACTGGGGTGAGAAGCCCGCGCTCTACACTTAGAGTAGGCCCCGCTCTCCGCAACTAGAGAAAAGTCTGTGCAGCAAGAAACCTCCTCGCACAGCCAAAAATAAATAAAATTACATATAAAAAAAGAACTGTCCAATGACTTAAATTTCTCAATCACATTTTGTCCATAAAATGGGAATGGAATTGAAAAGCAGCAATTCAAATATAAATTAAACACAATATAATAATTATTCATGAATAATCTTTCCTACTGACAAGCTGTTGTCAATTTCTGGTCACTTAACAGTGACAAAGTCTGGGGAGAGGCTAGGCATTAATGAGATTTATTCTTAAATATGTTTTCCATAACTCCACTTCTGATCAGGGCCCAACTGACCAGAAGATGTGGCAGAAGCCCTCCTCTCTGCCTTTAGTCCACGGAATAGCCCAGTGAGGTGAAGCTCCGCTTGTTTACAAAGCACACAGTTAAACGTCAGAGTGAAAAAGAAAAACTCTATATCCTAGAAATGACACTAGTTGAGCAAGTAAACTAAAGACATGCCAGTGAATCAGAGTTTTTGAAAAGCACAGGATGGGTGACCTTCCACACCTATGACCGTTTCAGAACCTGTGCACAGTGAGACGAAAGAGGAAACATGATGAAAATCTTTGTCTCCATTGGCAGCAGCGTGAGCGTGGGTGACCCAGGCAGCGGTGTCAACCACACAGCCAAGCCCTGGGCCGGAAAGAGACAAGAGAGCACCTTCTGCCCAGGTTGTACTCTGGACGGTTTTTAGTCTCAGATTATAATTTTAACAAAAACCAGCAGGCATGGGAGGTGGGGGGAAGGATGCTTTTCCTGGGTTTGCAGTCAAGGCCCTAGGAAACCACGAGTACTCAACATGGCTCCGTCCCTACTTGGATCCAAGACACTGGAGCTGCATCTGCACGGATTTTGTCACCTTCAGGGCAAGCCAGAACACCCTCTATGGAGGCATTTGATAAACATACTGAGTCAACAGGCTTCCCAGGTGGCTCAGGGGTAAAGAATCCAACCTGCCAACGCAGGAGATGCCGGAGATGGGGTTCAATCCCTGGGTCAGAAAGATCCCGAAGGACAGAGGAACCTGGAGGGCTACAGTCCGTGGAACTGCAAAGAGTCGGACACAACTGAGCATGTGCGCACACGCGCACGCACACACACACACACATGTGCGTGGGCACGCGTGCACACACACACACACACACAGAGTCAAGGCATTTGATAAACCTACTGAGTCAACAGGCTTCCCAGGTGGCTCAGGGGTAAAGAATCCAACCTGCCAATGCAGGAGATGCAGGAGATGGGGGTTCAATCCCTGGGTCAGAAAGATCCCGAAGGACAGAGGAACCTGGAGGGCTACAGTCCATGGAACTGCAAAGAGTCAGACACAACTGAGCATGTGCGCACACGCGCATGCACACACACACACACATGTGCGTGGGCACGCGTGCACACACACACACACAGAGTCAACACCGCCTGGATATCTCTGTTCCACCAGAGATTTAACAGTAAAATCAACACCAAAATCACATTTTCTTAGAAGGGGATGTTAATCAGAGAATCATGTCTATGTCCTCAGGAGAAAAGACCTCAGACAGACTTAAAATCACTTAGATTTTTTCATCTTTTTAAATAATAGACAGACTTTTGGTTAATGTTTCACTTCTCAATGAAGAGTGAGTGTAAACCAAACTCATCTCTGACTTTGGACTTTGCTTTACTGTCAGCTAGGGAGTATCTGAAGGTGAATCCAGGAGCCGAGAGGACTGGGGACATCACTTAGTCACATCCATAGTAAACACTAATATCCATCAATCCCTCCAAAGCAAACATAACAGATCTAAAGTAGGACTTTCAGGTAAATATGTTTAGTAACATGAGATGTGTTAGTCATCTCCAGCATTGAGAAAGACCCTTTGCTTTTTAGAACAAATTCACGGCAGGGTGAAATCCTAAGTGAGAGGAGAAGAAAGCTTAACAAACATGAAATGAGACCTCCTTGACCTGAAGGAAAGGTGTGTACACAGTCAGCCTGCCCCAGTCTATAAAACGTCACTAGAAATGGAATCAGTGGAGAAACCTGATTTACCAAAACTCTTCCACAGACAATGCTGTTCAATTAAAACAATTTCTGCTTACATCACCCCTAAAAGTTTTGAATGCCAAATGCCCTCCCATACAATTTTAAGCTGACATCTAATATTTCGTCACAAATTAAGATAGCTACAAAATATATTTTCTAATATACTGTGAATATTGACATTTTAAAAGTAAACTCTAAGGTCACTCTTTTAAAGACATCCAAGAAATGCTTAACATTATAGTGATGTGACATCCACCACTATCAATTCAAGAGACACAAATATAATCCTAATGATAAGTAAAAATTTTGTTTTTCCTTTTCTCCTTCTTTGAAGTACTATTTTCTTTCCACTTCTTCCAAAGTATCTTACCCTAATCAAGTATTTTTTTGCTTGAAAGTCTTTATCAATCGCTTTTTAATACTTTGCTGTAATAATTTTATGCTCAAAATGGAAACTTAAGAAGACTTTAAAATTTCCTATGAACAGAAGTCTCAAGATAAGTATTTAAATTTTCTTCTGGTCTGACTGATCATTACAATTATTATTAGCCAACCCTCAGAATTAGAGAAAATAGTACCAAATGAAACAAATGACCAAGGATTAATCTCCAAAATATACAAGCAGCTCATTCGGCTCAATACCAGAAAGACAAACAACCGAAGCAAAAAGTGGGCAGAAGACTGAAACAAACATTTCTCCAAAGACATACAGATGGCTAATCTAATAAACACATGGAAAGGTGTCAACATTTCTCGAAATGCAAGTCAAAACTACAATGAGGTGTTATTACCTCACACGGGTCAGAATGGCCATCATCGAAAAATCTACAAACAATAAATGCTGGAAAGGGTGTGGAGAAAAGGCAACCCTCTTGCACTGTTGGCGGGCATGCAAACTGATACAGCCACTATGGAAGATGGTATGGAGATTCCTTAAAAAACAAGGAATAAAACCACCACACGACCCAACAATCCCACTGCTGGGCATATACCCATGTATATGGGTACACATGTACCCCAGTGTTCACAGCAGCACTACTCACAATAGCTAGGAATGGAAGCAACCTAGATATCCATTGACAAATGAATGGATAAAGAAGTTGAGGTACATATACACAATGGAATATTTCTTAGCCATTAAAAAGAATGAAATAATGCCACTCACAGCAACATGGATTGACCTGGAGATTATCATTCTGAGTGAAGTAAGCAAGACAAAGACAAATATCATGTGGTATCCCTTATACATGTAATCTTAAAAAAAAAAAAACACAAGTGAACTTATTTGTAAAAATGAGAAACAGGCTCACAGACACAGAAAACAAACTTATGGTTCCCAAAGGGGAAAGGTATGGGGGCAGGTGTAAATAGGGAGTTTGGGGACTGAAATATACACATGACTATATTTGAAATACAAATCCAACAAGGACCTATACTGTGTAGCACAGGGAAGCGTGCTCAGCATTCTGTAAGAACTTAAAGAATCTGGAAAAGGAACAGATACATGCATGTACATAACTGAATCACTTTGCTGAGAACCTGAAACTAATGAAACATTCTTCGTCAACTGTATCCAAATACAAACTAAAGAAGATGAACTGGAATCTTCTATACTTACATAAACTGGTTAACTTCAAGGCTGCAGGAAGTGCTGAGCATAAATTCTCTGATTTGTGTCTCCTGGCATTTGCTAAAGATATACATTCTTATTTTCAGGACAGCTGCCCTTACCTGCTGCTTGAGTGCCTCCAAAGATTCAAATTCCAATCTGGCCAGTTTCATCTGGATATGCCGTGGCTTATCAGGTATGGCAAATGCAAGGATGAACTTCAAAGCCAGGAGCGTGTGCTGAAAAGAAAGAGCACATGTTGCTGGGACACACTGGACCACGTGGGCAAGGAGACAAATCAGCACCTAAACACTGTGATCCTGCTCATTAATCTTGGGTCACTTCTAACTACTGGCCTGTGATGAATCACAGATCAACCAGGTCCATAACTTATATTTAATTCACCATACTGTGACCACTCAATCATTATTGACTTACTTTGCTTTCTTCTTTTAAAATCAGTTATTCCCTTAAAATGGTACCATATGCTAGGCTCAATGAAAAATAAAGTTTGTTCTTAAAAGTCTACTACAAAATGCATTTTTCTACTTGTGTCTTAATTCCCAGTGTATTTAGGGTGCCACGTGTGCAGAGTCAAATGTTTCTCTTTGTGTAACCACACCCTCCTCTGTGCTGTGCTTCAGGCTGAGTTACAGGAAACAAGCATGTGCCTTAAACAGAATCCTCTGCTTCCCCAATAGTGGCTGGTGCAGTGTCTTTCATGAAATGGCAATCAATGAGTATTGATGAGCTGACTGACTAATGCACTACTTTATGCTGCAGACTCCATATACTGTGATGCAGAATACAGACAGGTAGAGTATGTCCTTTCCCTTTATAACACGGGAAACTTAGAACCTGGCTATTTTATTTCTCTTCTCTACCAACGCCATATAGAGGTTCTCTAAAATAATCACATGAGGTTTGTGATTATGCTTCTTTCTCTGCAGAAATAAGCCAGCAGGACCTGGTAAGTCCTGGTAAGACTTACCCTGGTAAGTCTGCTGCTTAGACGTGCAGCCTCAACTCAGTGTTTCTCTAATGCTGCCATCATCTTGTGACCCAGGGCCAACACCCACAGAAACCTGAGCGGTCGTAATAGTAAAGTTGCCTCTTTCATGATGGCATGAATTAGTAAATATCAAAGGTTGTAAAATAAAAATTCAAGGTAGGTATTAGGCATGAAGAAAATCAGTGAAGGAGAGGGAACAGCCTCTAAGATATGTTGCACTGAATAATTAGCAGAAAAGATGGTTAAAAAAAAATAAGTGAACTCTTTACTCTGATATTTTCAAAAGGGGGATGAAGGATAAATAACATGTGGCTATCTCCTGGGAGAAGCATGAAATAATGGAGAAAATCAGCATCATGCCAGAACAAGCTATAATTCAATACAAAGACTTGAAAACTGGCAGAAGCCCAGGGCAGGCCGGGGACTGCCTGGCATTAACAGGAGGTCTGGAACGGACCAGGGAAGGGTAGTCTTCTCTGAAATGTGACTGTCATGACCAAAGAAGGCACTGGAAGACACTGACTAGGTGTCTGCAATGTGAAAATAAGGAAATAAAACAGATGATATCATGTGTTGCAATTCTGAACTAAGTGAATTAACAGGAACCTGGATATAATCTACAAATAAGAAATGAATAATTTAGAAAGAGCTATACTGTGTCATTATTTCATTCCACTGGACTACTGAGATAAAATTTTATATAAGACTTAATCTCTTTAGCAGAAGAGCTAAGACAGGAAATCGCCTCTATCTTTTAGAAATGGTGTGGTGTGTCGTCAGGTTGCCAGAGCCCCACCATGATCCAGTCATGGGCCCTGTTACATTTCTCCTAACAAATCTGTCCCCATTTTCTCTTCTTTGGAGTCTCAGTAGGAATTACTGAGAAAGAAGACCCTGCTGAGGTCTTCCCTTGCACACAGGGGAGTTGTCAGATGTGTCAACTCTTCTTTGGGAACCAGGACCAGCTACTGGGTGACCGGGAAAGGCTGCCACAGACCTTGGTCCTCATGCTTTCCATATGAAATGTCCATAAAACTCTCTTGAATTGAAAAGAACTTGATATTGATTAGACAATACTAGTTAAAACAGGAAGTTATTTTAACATGGTTAACACACTTACATAGCAACAACCTTTTGTGTTTCTATAGTGAATCACTCAAAGGAGAAAGGGAAAGATATACCCATCTGAATGCAGACTTACAAAGAATAGCAAGGAGAGATAAGACAGCTTTCTTAAATGAAGGATGCAAGGAGAGATAAAGCCTTACTAAGTGAAAAATGCGAAGAAACAGAGGAAAACAATGAATGGGAAATACTAAAGATCTCTTCAGGAAAATCAGAGATACCAAGGGAACATTTCATGTAAAGATGGGCACAATAAAGGAAAGAAACGGTATGGACCTAACAGAAGCAGAAGAGATGAAGAAGAGGTGGCAAGAATAAACAGAAGAACTGTACAAAAAAGATCTTAATGACTCAAATAAACATGATGGTGTGGGCACCCACCTAGAGTCAGACGTTCTGGAGCATGAAGTCAAGTGGGCCTTAGAAAGTATTACTACAAACAAAGCTAGTGGAGGTGATGGAACTTCAGCTGAGCTATTTCAAATCCTAAAAGCTGATGCTGTGAAAGTGCTGCACTCAATGTGTCAGCAAACTTGCAAAACTCAGCAGTGGCCACAGGATTGGAAAAGGTCAGTGTTCATTCCAAGCTCAAAGAAAGGCAATGCCAAAGAATGCTCAAACTACTGCACAACTGCACTCCTTTCACATGCTAGCAAGATAATGTTGAAAATTCTTCAAGCTAGTCTTCAACATGTCCTGTCTTTTTGTCTTTTCATACTGTAAAGCTATGACCAAACTAGACAGCATATTAAAAAGCAAATACATAACTTTGCCAACAAAGGTCCATCTAGTCAGAGCTATGGTTTTTCCAGTAGTCATGTATGGATGTGAGAGCTGAGCACCAAAGAATTGATGCTTTTGAACTAGTGTTGGAGAAGACTCTTGAGAGTCCCGTGAACTGAAAGGAGATCCAACCAGTCCATCCTAAGGGAAATCAGTCCTGAATATTCATCGGAAGGACTGATGCTGAAGCTAAAACTCCAATACTTTGGCCACCTGATGCAAAGAATTGACTCACTGTAAAAGACCCTGATGCTGGGAAAGACTGAAGGAAAGGAGAAGGGGATGACAGAGGATGAGATGGTTGGATGGCATCACTGACTCAATGGACATGTGTTTGAGTAAGCTCTAGGAGTTGGTGATGGACAGGGAAGCCTGGGGTGCTGTAGTCCATGAGATCACAAAGAGTCGGACTGAACTGAACTGAGGCTTCAACAGTACAGAAACTGAGAACTTCCAGATGTACAAGCTGGATTTTGAAAAGGCAGAGGAATTAGAGATCAAAATGCCAATGTCTGTTGGATCATAGAAAAATCAAGAAAATTCCAGAAAAACATCTGCTTCACTAAGCGAAAGTCTTTGACTGTATGAATCACAACAAACTGTGGACAATTCTGAGAGATGAGAATACCAGACCACCTTACCTGCCTCCTGAGAAACCTGTATGCAGGTCAAGAAGCAACAGTTAGAACAAGACATGGAACAAAGGACTGTTTCAAAATTGGGAAAGGATTATGTCAAGGCTGTATATTGTCATTTTGCTTATTTAACTTATATGCAGAGTTCATGATGTAAAATACCAGGCTGGATGAATCATAAGCGGGAATCAAGATTGCTGGGAGAAATATCAATAACCTCAGATATGCAGATGACACCACCTTAATGGCAGAAAGTGAAGAGGAACTTTACTTGGACTGCAAGGAGATCAAACCAGTCAATCTTAAAGGAACTCAACCCTGAATATTCACTGGAAGGGCGGATGCTGAAGCTCCAATACTTTGGCCACCTGATGTGAAGAGCCAACTCACTGGAAAAGACCCTGATGCTGGAAAAGACTGAAGGCAGGATAAGAGGGCAGCAGAGGATGAGATAGTTGGATGGCATCACTGACTCAATGGACATGAGTTTGAGCAAGCTCTGGGAGACAGTGAAGGACAGGGAAGCCTGGCATGTTGTAGTCCATGGGGTCACAAAGAGTCAGACATGACTTAGCAACTGACCAACAACTCTACAGTTTACTTTCCTAAAAATACCTAAAATTTCCTAAAAAAAGAGAAATCATTTTCTTTGGAATTATATTTTCAGCATAGGTTCCCAGTAGACCTACTTATTTCAAGCTTTTAACTTCCCACTGAACAGGCCCAGGGTCACGCTCTTGAAGAGCCTCCACAAGCCACACAGCCAAGCATTCTTCCCTGGCCCCCAGCACCACTGAAAGCCAGCAGGGAAATAGCCCTGGGTGCATCCACTCTGTTCATGACTAGTGTCCTTAACAGTGCAGCAAAAGAGAAGATGTTCTGGCTCCCAGTCTAGGTGGGGAGATGAGTAAAGACAGGCCACCACGTTGCCACGTGGGCATGTTACTGCTGGGTCTACACTGGGACCAGGGGCACTTGACCACCAGGAATCCCAGCTTTCACTAGGTCAGAGAGGGTTCCCTGAAGGAAGTGAGCTTGAGCAGAGACCCGATGGGTGAGATGGAATTATCGAGGCAAGGAGAAGGGGGCTGAAGTGTCTCCAGAGAGAGGATACACACACAAAGGCCTGGGGGTGCTGAGGAAAGAGGGGCTACAGAGGCAACCGGGAGCCAAGGGACATAGGAGCTGTGCAACCTGGCAGAGGAGTGAGGCGGCGCTGAAGGCAGGAATGCGGGATGACTCCATCAGACTTCTCCGTCTGTGGTGGGGGGAGTGAACAAGTGTGCAAGTGCAGGCAAGTCAGCAGGGCAACCGGAATGTGCGGGAGAGCAGTGGGGCTGCAGCTCAAGGAATCACTGGGGGGCTCGTCAGCAGAAGACTCACCAGGTCCCCTTGACGCGTGCACTCAAATGATAAGCCCAGGACGAGGGGCAGTTGAAGGTGAGGAGGGGTCTGCACGGGCTCTAGATTCTTAGCTATCTGGGGGAGTGTCTAAATGGAGATAGACATCAGCAAGGAGTGTGATAGAATGGGTCTCAAGTTCACGGGAGGGCTGGAGGCAGAGACCTGGGATCACTGATGTGTGTGCAAGTGGCCAATGAAGCCACGGGACTGGATGAGTTGCCCAAGGCTGTGCAATGAGGGAGAACAGATGAGATGCAGCAAGATGATGGCGGAGGATGGA